ATCTCACAGAAAGAACAGGAAAGGGAAAAGAGGCTCAGAAAAAATGAAGAGGGGTTAAGAGAAATGCAATACAATATGAAACATAATAACATCCGAATAATAGAAATACCAGAAGGAGAAGAAGAAGAACAAGGGATAGAAAATCTATTTGAAAGAGTAATGAGAGAAAATTTTCCTAATTTGATGAGAGAAAAAGTCATACAAATCCAGGAATCACAGAGAGTCCCAATCAAGAGGAACCCAAGGAGGCCCACTTCAAGACACAGCATCATTAAAATGACAAAATTCCAAGACAAAGAGAGAATCTTAAAGGCAGCAAGGGAGAAAAAAGAAATAACATACAAGGGAGTCCCAATAAGGTTAGCTACTGACTTCTCAATGGAAACACTCCAAGCAAGAAGAGAATGGCAAGAAATATTCCAAGTAATGAGAAAGAGAGGCCTAAAACCAAGGCTACTTTACCCAGCAAGGCTCTCAATCAAGATAGAAGGCCAAATAAAGAGCTCCCAAGACAAAAAAAAGTCTAAAAGAATTTGCTGCCACCAAGCCAGCTCTACAAGAAATACTAAAAGGACTGCATTAAGGAAAGGAAGAAAAAGAGACAGACAGAGAGGAACACAAGTACAAAAATGGCAATGAATAAGTACCTATCAATAATAACCTTAAATGTAAATGGATTAAATGTTCCCATCAAAAGACACAGAATAGCTGCATGGATAAGAAAGCATGACCCACACATATGCTGCCTACAAGAGACCCACCTCAGGACAAAAGACCATCACAGACTAAAAGTGAAAGGCTGGAAACAAGTTTTCCAAGCAAACGGACAAGAAAAAAAAAGCTGGGGTAGCAATTCTCATATCATACAAAATAGACTTAAAAAAAAGGGCCATAGAGACCCAGAAGGTCACTTCATTATACTCAAGGGAACAATCCACCAAGAAGACATTAACATCGTAAATATATATGCACCCAACATAGGAGCACCCAAATATATAAAGAAAATCTTAGAGGAATTAAGAAAGATATAGACAGCAACACAATTATAGTGGGGGATTTTAACACCCCCACTATCAAAAATGGACAGATCTTCCAAACAAAATATCTACAAGGACATTGTGGCATTAAACAACAGCCTTGATGAAATGGACCTGATATATACAGAGCCCTTCATCCCAAAGAAGCTAAATACATATTCCTTTAAAATGCACGTGGAACATTCTCAAAGATAGACCACATGATAGGACACAAAATGAGCCTCAACAAATTCAAGAATATTGAAATCATACTAAGCATTTTCTCTGACCACAAGGGACTGAAATTGGAAACCAACTCCAAAGGAAAAAAACCCCAAACACCCAAAATCATGGAGACTGAATGGTATGCTATTAAACAACAAATGGGTCAAGAATGAAATTAGGGAAGAAATCAAAACGTTTCTGGAAACAAATGAAAACAATCTCACAACAACCCAAAACTTATGGGACACAGTGAAGGCAGTCCTGAGAGGGAAGTTTATAGCAATACAGGCCTACCTAAAGAAGATAGAAACATTTCAAACAAACAACCTTACTCTACGCCTGCAAGAACTCGAGGAACAACAACAAAAACAGCCCAAAGCAAGTAGAAGAAAGGAAATAACCAAGATCAGAGCAGGACTAAATGACACAGAGACTAAAAACAATCCTAAGGATAAATGAATCCAGGAGTTGGTTCTTTGAAAAGATAAACAAAATAGCCAAGCCCTTAAGTAGTCTCATCAAGAAAAGAAGAGAGCAGACACAAATAAACACAATCAGAAATGAAACAGGAGAGATAACGATTGATACCACAGAAATAGAAAGGGTTGTAAGAAATTACTATGAAGAACTGTATGCCAAGAAATTTGAAAACCTAGGGGAAATGGACACATTTCTAGAAAAATATAATCTTCCAAAACTCAATGAAAAAGAAGTAGAAAACCTGAATAGACCAATAACAGCAAAAGAAATTGAAGCAATAATCAAAACCTCCCGAAGAACAAAACCCCTGGACCAGATGGTTTCACAGAGAAGTCTACAAAGCATTTAAGGAAGGGCTAACCCCTATTCTTCACAGACTATTCAAAAAAACCCAAAAGGATGGAAAACTCCCAAACTCCTTTTCTGAAGCCAGCATGATCCTAATTCCAAAACCAGATAGAGATACAACGAAGAAAGAAAACTTCAGGCCAATATCGCTGATGAACATAGATGCTAAAATCCTCAACAAAATATTGGCAAATCGCATCTAACAATATACCCAAAGGTTATACACCGTGACCAAGTGGGATTCATCCCAGGGATACAAGGATGGTTCAACATTTGCAAATCAGTAAATGTAATTCATAACATAAACAAATGCAAAGACAAAAACCACATGATCATATCAATAGATGCAGAAAAAGCTTTTGATAAGGTACAATATCCATTTATGATAAAAACACTCAGCAAAGTGGGAATAGAGGGAGCATTCCTCAATATAATAAAGGCCATATATGAGAGACCTACAGCCAATATCATACTCAATGGGCAAAAACTAAAAGCTTTTCCACTAAGATCAGGAACAAGACAAGTATGTCCACATTCACCACTTCTATTCAATATAGTTTTGGAAGTTTTAGCCACAGCGATCAGGCAGGAAAAGGAGATAAAAGGCATCCAAATAGGAAAGGAGGAAACAAAACTGCCATTGTTTGCAGATGACATGATAGTGTACCTGGAAAATCCTACAGACTCTACCAAAAAACTGCTCAACATAATAAATGAATTTGGCAAAACAGCAGGATACAAAGTCAATATCCAGAAATCAAAGGCATTTTTGTATACTAACAATGAATCAGCAGAAGCAGAAATCAAGGAAATAATCCCATTCGATATAGATATAGCAAAAAGAAAAATAAAATATCTGGGAGTAAACCTAACCAAGGAGGTAAAAGACCTGTATGCAGAAAACTACATAGCCCTGAAGAAAGAAATCAATGAAGACACAAACAAATGGAAACATATACCTTGTTCATGGATTGGAAGAATTAATATCATCAAAATGTCCATACTACCCAAAGCAATATACAGATTCAATGCAATATCTGTTAAAGTACCAATGGCATATTTCACAGACATAGAACAAACACTTCAAAAATTTATATGGAGCCACAAACGACCCCAAATAGCAGCTGCTCTTTTGAGAAAGAAGAACAAAGTAGGAGGGATCACAATACCTGATATCAAACTGTATTACAAGGCCACTGTAATCAAAGCAGCCTGGTACTGACATAAAAACAGGCACATAGACCAATGGAACAGAACAGAGAGCCCAAAAATCAACCCAACTCTCTACAGTCAATTAATATTCAACAAAGGGGCAATAACATAAAATGGAGTAAAGATAGCCTCTTCAACAAATGGTGTTGGGAGAACTGGACAGCTACGTGCAAAAAAATGAAACGAGCATAAACCTACACCATACACCAAAATAAATTCAAGGTGGATAAAAGACTTAAATATAAGCTGTGACACCATTAAAGTCCTACAAAAGAACATTGGCAAGAAAATCTCAGATATTCCATGCAGCAACATTTTTACTGATATGTTCCCTAGAGCAAGGAATATAAAGGAAAGAATAAACAAATGGGATCTCATCAAAATAAAAAGCTTCTGCATGGCTAAAGAAAACAGTATTAAATTAAAAAGACGACCATCCGTATGGGGAAACATATTTGCCAATGATACTTCAGACAAAGGTTTAAATTCCAAAATATACAAAGAACTTACATGACTCCACTCTAAGAAGACATCTAACCTAATTAAAAAATGGGAAAAGGACTTAAACAGACACTTCTCCAGAGGACATACAGAATATCCAGAGACACATGAAGAGATGCTCAATATTGTTAGCTATCAGAGAGATGTAAATTAAAACCACAATGAGATACCACTTTACACCAGTCAGGATGGCTATCATAAACAAAGCAACTAACAACAAATGTTGGAGAGGTTGTGGGAAAAAGGGGTCCTTAGTTCACTGTTGGTGGGATTGCAGACTGGTACAACCATTATGGAAAACAGTATGGAATTTTCTCAGAAAAATAAAAATTGACCTGCCTTTTGACCCAGCAATTCCACTGCTAGGATTATATCCTAAGAATACTGAAACATCAATTTCGAAGAACCTAGGCACCACAATGTTCATAGCAGCACAATTTACAATAGCCAAGAGATGGAAGCAACCTAGGTGCCCATCATTAAATCAATGGATCAAAAATTGTGGTACACATACACAATGGAATTCTATGCAGCAGAGAGAAAGAAGGAGCTACAACCCTTTGTAACAACATGGGTGGAACTGGAAAGCATTATGCTGAGTGAAATAGGCCAGGTAGTGAAAGACAAATACCATATGATCTCACCTTTAACAGGAAGCTAAATAATAAAGCAAACAAGGAAGCAGAATAAAAACAAAGACACTGAAATAGAGAACAAGGGGACAGTGACCAGAAGGGAGAGGGAAGGGAATTTAAGGGGGAAAAGGAGGAGGGATTTGGAGGAAAAAGTATGAAGGACACATGGATGAGGACTAGGGAGGGAGGAAATGGGAGGGAGGTGGGGAGTACAGGGCGGGAGGGTGGCTGGAATGGGAGAAATATCAAAAAACTGTACCTGAAAAATAACTAAATAAAATTATTTTTAAATCAACAAAATTGCAAAAGCAACATAATTAAAATTAACATTAAATTAATGAAGTAGCATGTTTTTGTTAAATGACACTGTCACCTGCAATGGGAATATGATGTACTCTCTTGTGTGTAATTGTGAAATTTGTGGGTTTATACCACCTTTTTGTTCACAAAATTTATTTGGTGCAACCAAGCACACAACTTATATAAAGTCCATTTTCTGTTCCTTTTAAAAAATAAAATAAAATATATAAAAACTAAAATTAGATTATTTCACTTAAGTACCATTGTAGATTAAAATTCTTACCTGCATTAGAGCAGATGATATCTTGAGAATTCTTGCACATCTCGTTACTTTTTTTCTTTGTCAGTTCACAATTAGTTGGGTACTGGCAAGCTTCCCCAGACCATCCTCTGTCACATTTGCACTTTCCACAGTCACACTTACCATGGCCTGAGGATTTAACATCATATCATTTAGACCAAAATTGTTTTTAAAAATTGTCCTAATTAAAAGTCTTAAGGGTAATGTTGGTTCAAGACTGAACTATAATAAATTCAAACACATGTATATTACAGTGACTGAAGGGTAATGCTATTATTATATACAGTATAAAGGAGTATGTAAATTTCATTTAAATAATCAATTTTGATAAATCATACTAAAATATTAATGTATAGAGACATTAGGATAGATATATCAAAATTGTGATAAACCATAGCATAAAATTTAGCACAGGAAAGAAAAATACCCACTTAGTGCCTCCACATTGCAGAGACAAAAGCCCAGTAAAAATTATTTCTGTGTAAGTACATTTTATAACACATAAAACTATAAACTCTGCATAAGAAATTTTACATGAATCTCCACTAAATGAAACTTTAGACTCATATTTATTTGAATCTAAGTTGTAAAATTGTATAGTTATATAAATACCACCTTGGAAAAGATTGACATGAAAGTTTAGTATATATCTTGTTTCTCAATGAGAAAATTTGGTTCAAGAATCAAAAGAATAAGTCCAATATTCACCTACCACCATGCAAATTTCTCAAGCTTTCATGCTCTCATATTAACAGTTTGTTGTTTTCATTATTGTGATCATTAACTTTATTAAATCCTACTTGATGAAGCCCACTAATGTTTTCATTAATTATATACTAGTCTGACTGAAGTGCAAAACATGTACAATCCTTGATCTTTGTCCTTGTAGAATTTACAAAGTTGGGACTGATACACAAAGAGGATTGTCTGTCAGACCTTGTGTTATGTTGAGCAATATAGACTATGACCTATAGAAGTAAAAAGGGAGAGACTTTTTGGACTTCCCTCACCTTTAAATAGGCCTTGAAAGGGGAGGAGAGTCTAAATAGATGGCAGGGAGAGTATTTTTATATTACTCAAGATAGTAATATTATGGCTTAATCCCTCAAATCCATAGGCCACAATGGAATGGAATCCTTGATCTGGTGCTAACAGTTTATTCAATGTGGCAGCCAAAATCCACACAATGAAGTCCAGATGGTCAGTCAGAATGAATGGCTCAGAGGGACCCCTTTTAGGAATGTTCAGCACAGCCTGCATCTCTGATTGGCTACAACTTTAAAACTCAGTGTGTGACCCAGTCCATGTAAATGTTTCTATTGTTGTTGCATTTTTTCAAATTAGTTATGCTATTTTGCAAACAAATCCTTTCATGCCCCTTTAATTGCAATTTACTTCATCCAGTGCATATTACTCTGTCAACATTGTACATCACTGTCTGGTCCTACATAATAATGTTTATTTCAGCCAACTTGGAATCATTTACAAACATAAGTGATCTTTCCTGCCAACCAACCAGTCTATTTATAAAAGTATTAAGCCAAATTCTTAAAGTATCTAAGGCCCTTTAGTAAATGAAGTGTCTTGGTAACTATAAGGACTCATTAGCAATGTTAGTGTGTTATGTTGAACCACACGAAATCCTCACTTTTATAATTTGAATATCAGCTATTTCTTATGATTCATCCTCATAAAAAGGTTCCATATCAACAAAGGTAATGGAAATGATTTAAAACATAAAGGAATATGGTAGTAATAAATTGCTTAATCTTGAATAAAAGAACAGTGAATGCTTGATTTATATTGGATGGGACACTTTATTTGGAGATAAATACATACTTTTTTAGAAATAAAATTATCTGCAGACCATTTTTACTCTTTATGCACAGTTAGTAAGAGCTTTGCAGACCTCAGGGGATAAGGTTGTTATATTGTCATGTTAATCTCCATCACAGTGTCAATAACACGGCTTCGAAAGACAACCTTTTGTCAAAATAATTTATCCATTGTGCATTAGCTTTCAGAGGCTTCCATATAAAGTACCACAAATTGGGTAGCTTAAAGACAACAGAAATTTATTCTCTCACAGTTCTCAAGCCCAGAAAACTGAAATCAAGGTGTTAGCAAATTGGTTTCTTTTGGAGGATCTTAGAAAGAAACTGTACCATATCTTTCTCCTAGATACTGGTCCTTTTCCTATAAAATCGGTGTTCATTAGCTTCTGACAGCTTAACTCCAATCTCTGTTTCTGTCTTCACATGGCTTTTTCCTCTGTGTGTCTGTGTCTTTGTGTTTTTCTACATATAATTGCATTCATTGGATTTAGAGCCCATCCTACTCCAGTATGTCCTCAACTTAACTTAATTACATCTTCAAGGACCCTATATTCAAATGTTGCATTCACAGGCTCCAGCTATTAAAACTTCAAATATTTGGGGGGAAAATATAGTTCAACCCATGACAATTGCAAATAATACACCCTAATTATTTTTTCCCTAACTTAAATTCAAGTAAAAGGTGGGGCAATTTTTTCTCTTATATATGAAAACAAACTTGCTAGGTCTGGCAGCAAGACCCCCTCCTCCACATTTCTAACACTGGGAGGGGCCTGAAAACCTACTCACACCCAGAATTAAATACACACTTGATCCCACAGCTCTGCAGGTCCCTCCCCTTCCCTGTTCCTCCCACAATAGTTGCTCCTTAACCACCAACTCAGCCTAAAGACAACTGAATTCTCAGAGTCCAGGGGAAAAGCACAGCACACAGCAGGCTCTCAGAGAGAATTGGGGACCTTGAGGGTGAAAAGTCCCAGGTCCCAGGAGTCTCAGTCTAGGAGAGCAAAATAGTAGGCACCAGAGTTTCAAGTGTCCACATCCCCTTGGCTTTTGAGACATACCACCACATCCTGGCCTTGGAAATGACTGGCCAAGAAGAGCTAGAGCAGAACCCCTAAATCATGAGGCCCAGAACAAGGTTCTAATTGCACAGGATGGCCACTGTCCAGGGCTACAGAAAATCCTAACCAGCAAAGCATTCACCATTCCTGGCTGTTTAGACCATTCCAGTTCTGATTCTTCTCCAGATAAGTCAATTTCCAAAACTACAAAATGTGATCTTAAAATAAAGCATTCAACATGCTTGATGATGAATCTGTTGCCCTTCAAATAAGTTCCCAAGGAATCAAACAAAAACAAACACACAAAACAAGAATGTCAGAGAAATGCCAAAATAACTCCCTGCCAAAAGAATGAAGATGAAAAAAATGTAAGGCTATCATTTTCAGGGCTGTTGGTGGTATAGTGAAGACAAACCACAGTGGAAAGTAAAATCCAATAATTTAGTCTCCTGTTCAAGTGAGAACCTGAAGCCCCAGCTGGCTCTCTCTAGTGGTTCCCAGTAAACTAAGGTCTTGATCTCCACTGATAAAGAAAAGGCATTCCAACAAACCAAAAATATATTTTTTAAATTTTTAATTAAACAACGCAACAAGCAGTGCCACCATTATTTCTTAATTTATTTTAGCTGGGTAATGTAAAGGCAGCGGTGATGAATTCATTAAAATACATTAGTGCACGATGAAGGAAAACTGATGCTAATTATTTTTAAATGACAACAAGCTGTTTTAAAATGGGAATAAAGACTACCAGTATTGAAGAACTTTAAAGAAATCAATCAGGACTTTGGGAGAAGTTCCAGGCAAGATGGAGGGGCAGGTAGAAACCCTTCACTTCCTCACACAATCAAAAGGAAGATAACAACCAAGCTAAAATCGATAAATAAGCAAAAGTGCCAGAAAATCAAACTTCATGAAAAAAAAATCAACCGGAACAACCAGACTGGTAAGGTGGCAGACTATGCAGGCCAACTCAGAAAAACTGCCACCAGGCACAGAGGTGGGTCACTGGCCAAAGGTGAAACTGAGACTCAGAGTTGACTGTGTACTATGGTGGTTGCCATGGTGGGAGAAACTCCCAGTCTCACATGAGAGAGTCTGTTGGAAGGTTTGCTAGATAGGAGCAAGCGAGCTGCATTGTTCCCTCTCTGGCCCCTCCCTCACAAGGCAGCATTGAAAGGCAACAAAGAAGGTTGCTCTGCCCAGGTGAATACCCAAGGCCCCACCCCCTTACAACTTATCAGTTGCAGCAAGACAAAGAAATATGACCCAAATGAAAGAACAGAACAAAATCTCAGAAAGAGAACTAAGCAATGAGGAGATAGCCAGCCTATCTGATGGAGAATTTAAAACCTTGGTGATCAAAATGCTCACAGAACTGATTGAGCTTGGTCAAAAATGAAAAAAAACAAAGGGATACCCAAAGTGAAATAAAGCAAAATATTCAGGAAACCAACAGTGACAGGAAGAAAACCAGGACTGAAAGCAACAATTTGAAACAAAAGGAAAAAATAAACATCCAACTGGAACCAAATGAAGAAATGAGAATTCAAAAAAGTGAAGAGAGTCTTACAAACCTCTGGGACAACCTGAAATGTTCCAATATCCAAATCATAGGGATGTCAGAAAAAGAAAAACAACAGCAAGAACAAATAATGAAGATAAATTTCCCCAATCTGGCAAAGGAAATAGATTTCCAGGAAGTCCAGGAAGCTCAGAGAGTCCCAAAGAAGTTAGATCCAAGGAGGAACATACCAAGACACATCATAATTAAATTACCCAAGATTATAGTTTATCTATAAAGAGAGAATCCTAAAAGAAGCAAGAGGAAAAGACACAGTTACCTACAAAGGAGTGCCCATAAGACTGTCAACTGATTTCTCAAAAGAACCCTTGCAGGCAAGAAGGGGCTGGAAAGTATTTGAAGTCATCAAGGGCAAGGGCTTATATCCAAGCTTACTCTCTCCAGCAGAGCTATCATTTGGAATGGAAAGACAGATAAAGTGCTTTCCAGATAAGGTCAAGTTACAGTAGTTCATCATCACCAAGCCCTTATTATATGAAATGTTAAGGGACTTATCTAAGTAAAACAAGATAAAAAATAGGAACAGTAAAATGACAACAAACTCACAACTATGAACAAATGATCCTAAAAGAAAAGAAAACCAATAAAACAAAAACTAAGAAAAGAACCAGAACAGGAACAGAATCAGAAAAATGAACATCACACAGA